ATATATATATATATCTTGAATTTAAGTCCTGCAACATGTTGTCTGAAAGTCAGACCGTGTATTCCACACCTGTTCACTATTAACATCACAAACAATATGCAGCGTTCTGTTTTTCTGTTGTCAAAGTGCAGCAAAAGATATCGCTGCAGACTGATCTGCACCACAGTAGACCAGCTTAACGCCCAAATCTTTCGCTTGGTTGTAACATGATGAGGTGTGATAGTTTATTACAGAAAATTCAAATTATCAAGACATTCTCGTTAAAACACCTGGTTGGAATAGTGGTGTTTGTTGCTCTTAATTTTACTGGTCTCAAATATTTTTGTCGGGTATCTCCTTTGGAAAAAGAACTGTTTTCACCGACTACTGTCAAATTCAGCAGGAGGATGTGTTTTTCAAAAAGACATTGAAAATATTCTTGTGATATTGTTCCACAGACTTTCTATTAGGCATTTCAACTTTGCCATTCTTGTACAATTACCCACGTTTCAGTTATTTCTCTAAAGTTGATTGGCTGCAGCAGCCATCTTGAATTGGGTTGACTCTAAAAGTTGTTTAGTTGTAAATGTATATCCAGGTGTTGCTTTCTAAAAGTTTCAGCAGAATCCATCCACTAGTTCATGAGTTTTGCTAACAGACAGACAAATTATGCAAACACACACACAGCAGCAAGTGTTTAATATGAGCCGGATCCTGCCGGAACAACATCTGGGAACTCCCTCATTTTGACCGGGTGCGTTCTGGCAACTATTTGCTCAGATCTGGCAACTCAAATCTTCACCCCTAAAAGTCCAAAGTCATCGCACAGTTTTATTTTGATTATTTATTAAAAATATAATGAGAGGAGACATTTCCCAGTCTGTGGAGTAGATATTACGAGGTGCACCAGCTCGTGCACACGCTCCTACCCAGCAGAGATGTGGATGGCATGTACCGCGGGGATGAAGTGTCTTCAATATGGCAATCCAAGTGGCCCATTTATAGTCAGACATGTGGTAAAAGTGGCTATTAATGGGCCACTTGGCTTGCCATACCTTATGCACAGTAGTGTCTCAAGACATCTCTAGAGTGCACACAGCTGCTGATGTGAACTCATGCATGTTTCAGACATAAATAAAAAAGCTTAACTACAGTAAAAAAAAAAATACAATGAGAGAAATGTTTGATGTGTATTATTCACATTTTTCATGTATCAAAACAACGGTGCTAATTTGTCAAAATAACGTTGATCAAAATGTCAAAAAGACAGTCCAGTTTACTTTAATAAAATAAATGGATGGATTGTCTTTAGTTGGACAACTGAGAAGGCAGTCGTAGTTGGAGCAGCAGGAGCAACAACGCAGGAATGAATTCAGTGGATAAGAGTTCAGCTCAGAAACATGAAGTGTGTGTGTGTGTGTGTGTGGGGGGGGGGGGGGGTTGACAGAATCTGAGTGGCTCTATTCACACACAACCTGTTGTTGCTCTCTAAAATAGTTACTGAATCAAGTGTTTACAAATGTGACAGCCCATTAAAATAGGCTACACCAAAATGCAGGACACAGCATTTACTTTATTCAAAAATGTAAGGGGGAGGACCTACAGGCTCCTCTGCTTATCCCTCGTGCACTCCCCCCACCCCCTGTGCTCGCCGCCCACTGTGTTCCAGCATCGATCTGTTTACAAATTAAGCCCTGGCCATGGTCACCCGTTTTTTTTTTTTACGGTGGCGAGAAATAAATTATGTGTAAGATCATTGAACAATTGTAACAGAAAAGTGAGTCTTCACACAAAACAATAGATAACGAGATACTAACGTCTTTTTGATAAACATGAAATCTTTCCCCACAGACCTTCAGTCATGTATGATCTGTGTGGCCCGTCGAGTCACAGCCATGGAGAGAACGGAGAGCTTCAACACCCGACACGAGCTCTCAGGTGAGTATCCAAAGTCACGCAGACCGATGGTTCTGCACCCCTGACTGGGCTTGACTCATCCCTCACTTCGTCCCGCCGTCTGTCCTCCCCGGCAGGTAAACTGATTCAAATCGACCAGACATCTCTGCGAGCGTCGATGCGTTCGGGCTGGGAGGACTTGTTGAGGCGTTGCATCCAGATGTTCCTGCAGCACAGCGACGGGCAGCCCTTTTCGCACAAACGCCACTACCATGAGGGTGGGTCACGCCTGAAAACTCACACAGCTGGAATCGACAATTACGACGCTTTGATCTCAATTAAATCCACTGCGGACGGTTTGAAGGCAAATGGAAGAAGATAAATCAGAACTGAATTCACCGTGTAGTCCATTGTGTAGCTTAGGATGCTTTTAATTATAGCCAAGAGCAATTAATTTAAATTATGTCTTTATAGTTCATCATTGCTTTCTGTCCATTAGCACAGTACTTATAGGACTCAGTGCGACCTGCTGTGTAAATACATGAAAGCTCCTCATGCATAAGCACTTAAATATTGATCTTAATAAGAATGTCTCCATGCTACATCATTAGAAGTCACTTTTGTCTTTTTTTGTGGCTAAAATTCATTTTTTGAATCTATACATGTGCAATGAAAGTCCAAAACGTACAACTATAAACCCCACTCTTCTCTCAAAACCAGCACTTTTTATTGAAAAGCTAAACCTTGTGTTTGATTTGATTACAAAAGACCTTCAAAAGGCTCTTTGTCAAAACACTTCAAGCCAGGATTTAAGTGCCTTCTGGCCGTCTCTGTGTGATTTCTGAATGAACCGAGTGGACAAAGGAGGTGTTGAACTCAGCCCACCTCTGCTGCACCTTTCTGTCGCCAAGCAAGGTAGTAACAGAGACAAAACCACCGACGTATAAAAAGGTAAACCGGTTTTGCAGCTCAAGGCTGTGATGTAGTGACAACATCCGGTCTGTGCAACCATCCGACTGCAGGACTTAAAAAACCTAAATAAAAATAATATTTTTTACAGAGGAAAATATCGAAAATGATGATGCACAGAAATTTTGTATTTAGTTTAAAAATTCGAGTTAACCCCAAAAAGGATTGTCAAATTGCGTACATTCATCATGTTTTGAAATCAATACGTGGGAGACTTCCTCCACACATTTAATGTATAGTTCACATCAACACAGCTGAGTTCTGCTCCGTCCCTCTCTTGGTTTTGCAAAGCTTGCTTAATTCGTAAAGCTCACATCAACGCAGGATGTTGGCAGCCTGAGTAGTGAACTGCGAACAGTCTAAAACAGCTTAAAGACAAGTCTAGTCTTTGTAGCCATGTTGCATAACCATTTGAGAAAGTGCCTTAAAACTTCTGCACAGCAGTTTCTTAAAAAAATATATTTCAGTGGTGTAGTCTATGTGATACGCAGGTATACAGAGTATACGCACTAGAAAAGCTTGGAAATTTCAGTATACCCAGTTAAAAGTGCCCAATGACACGAGCCCATGTCAGTGTCATTGCCAAAGATACGTGACATGGGCTCGTGTCATTGCCAACACATTTGGAACATTTTAGAGACACTTTGAGTTGGTTCAACCTGTTTTTTGTATAATTAATATTTCTGTACTTACTACTTAATACTTGAACGTGTTTTGCTTTGATACTGTTTTATAAATTCTATAACTATTTTTAATACAAGGCCAACTGTTGCACAAAGTTTGATGTACAAATAAAAGCGTCAGATAAATTTTGAAATGTTCAATATGCTTAAAAATCTAAATAAATTGACGATTACATTGTACCAGCTGGTGTACTTCGGTTTCTAAGCACAGTATACCCAGTACAAAAATGTAGACGACACCACTGGCTGTTGTATATCTGTGGTTTGTGGCTTCGTCTGAATGCAACATATTATATTGACAGACCAAGTGTCCCCACCATCTTTCTGTGTTGGGAATTGTTTTATGGAAGCAGCCATGTTGTATTTTTGGAGCAGAGGATCTAAAACTTGTGCTGGAACTAATGGGGGAAGGTTCATCCCATTCCAGCTTCATCTTCAAGGTTTATGTCAGAAGTCTATCAATTCAGTTCAGTTTATTTATTTAGCGCCAAGCCACAACAGATCCATATATCATGTCCATACTGAGTCTTTGGGCTGCACTTGTTAACACATTTTATAAATAATTTATCTTGGACAAGTTGACTGACGCCACTTAGTCCTTCTGTTTTTTCTGCTTCCTTGTCTTGTCTTTTTGTCATCTGCTCGTTGTTTTTAAAGTTACGTGAACTGACTCAAGCTTCTTTTATCTGATCTTTCTGATCTAGAGTGTTTCCACCTGGATAATTATTGTCTACTTTGGTTCAAGCTGCACAATCTTGAGTAAACAGTTTTGACTAATACTTTCTCAAAGAGCAGCTGGTGTGAAATGTACGATAGGATTTGTTTCTTTATCAACAGATAGCCCAGACTTAGGGAAGTGTGTGTACACAAAATGTTTCTGTTTTGATTAGTGGCATCATAGTAACATTTTTTTAGTTTTATTGGGGAAAAATCAATAGACTTTTCCTGTGCAGCCTTTCTCCAGGGTCACGCCGAGACGCCCCTGTACCGCTTCTCCCTGTCCGACGGCACTCCGGTCACAGCCCAGACCAAGAGCAAACTGTACCGACACCCCATGAGCAACGAGCCGCAAGGTTTCATCTCAACTCACCTGCTACAGAGGTCAGAAACCAACATGATTCAAACCCAGAAAAGTATACGTCACTTCCTGTTTAAATTTATATTTTTAAAAAGTGTTTGTGGCAAGTTCATGTAAGGCAGCTAAGGTATTGTTGAAGACAGTGGTTTTATGTTTTTTTTTTTATTTTTTTTTTTTACATTTTCTCAAACCTTGTGCAATTTCCTTATTTTGCACTCAGGGAACCCAACGGTTACAGCTCAGCTCCAGGTGGAGGCATGATGTCCAACACTATGCGTCCACAAGGGATGGGTGGGACCAACCTGAATTCCCAAATGAATGTGAACACCGGTGGGGGGATGCCGATGGGAGGCATGGGCGGCATGAACAGGGGATATGGCATGAATGAGCAGGGTCACATGGGCCACATGGGTCCCATGGGAGGTGGCTCCATGTACGGAGGGAACAGCGGAGGAGGAGGCAGCGGTGGAGGCATGGGAAGTCGCATGATGCAGATGAATCAGATGGGCCAAATCAATCAGGTGGGACACATGAATCAGGTGGGACACATGAATCAGATGAACCAGATGGGGCCCATGAATCATCAGGCCCAAGGCATGCAGCAGCATCCACAGCAGCCCCCGTTTCAGAGCAGCGGCGGATTTGGCCTCACTGGCATGAACAGCCCATCAGGAAGCCCCAGAATGGGCGGCCCCCAGCAGGGACTCCTCATGTCCCCCCGGAACCGAGGGAGCCCAAAGCTGGGCGCCAACCAGTTCTCTCCAGGAGGTAAGGCTGTCAACAACCGGGCTAATCCGGTAGTCTGAAATCACAACTTTTCATAAATTTACTGATATTTTCTGGTGTTATCATGAGTTTCTTTTTCATCCAGGGATCCATTCTCCTATGAGTGGCATTGGCAGTGGGGGAGGGGGGAGCACCTGCTCCTTCTCCAGCAGCTCTCTTAATGCGCTACAAGCCATCAGCGAAGGAGTAGGGAGCTCACTCCCATCCACCCTAACGTCCCCCTCACCAGTCCACAAACCGGACAGCTCTCCCAGCATCCATTCGTCCTCTTCCTCCAACCAGCAGACCAAACCAGGCCAGGACGGCTCCAAAAGTCCAGCAGGAGGCATAGGGCCTGGATCCAGTGACCATCACCTCCCGGTGCACCATCACCACCACCATCAGCACCCTCCGGCTGAGAGCACTGGAGACGGACCAGACAGTCAGGCAGCTACTGCGACTAAAGACACCGGAGAAGGAAGCATTGAGGCAGGAGTGGTGAGCTCTGACCCCCCGCGCAGGGTCCCAGACAGTAAGGGACATAAGAAGTTGTTGCAGTTGTTGACTTCTCCGACTGAAGAGCTGGGGATGAGTGGAAGTGGTCCAACAGGCCCCCCTGTCCCACCACCCCCAAACAGCAGCAGCACTCCTGCAGGATTGGACAATAAGGACACTTCAGGGGGCATGACCAGCCCCTCATCCACAGGGGTGTCTTCCTCGTCTTCAGCCAGTCTTCAGTCTTCTGGACAGGCAGCTGGCCAAGGTGGCACGTCCACATCAGCTCACTACACCGGCTCACTGCAAGAGAAGCACAAGATCCTCCACAAACTTCTTCAGAACGGCAACACTCCAGATGAAGTGGCTAAGATCACGGCTGAAGCAACGGGAAAGGTGTCGCTCGGCGGCCAGGAGGGCGGTGAGGGTGGAACGGGAGGCTCAGGTGCTGGGTCGGGCCCTGGGTTAATCCCAGACCCTAAACAGGAGCAGCACAGCCCCAAGAAGGAAAAGACCCATGCCCTCCTCCATTACCTCCTCAACAAGGATGATTCCAAAGAGCCAGTGGATGTCAAGCCCAAACTTGAAGATTTGGAGGGGAATGGGCGTCCAGGAGCCGTTGGGGGATCTGCACCTGAACATCCTGAGAGCAAGATCAAATCAGAACCACCGGATGATGTAAGACTGGGTCTTACAATACAATTTAACAAACTTTGGTTTTTGATAGACTTACTTTGAATGAGCATAAATGCTCATAAGCGTTTACGTAACTAACAATCTGTTAATTTTATTGTCTAGCTACACAATCTGGAGTCTATCCTCGGAGATCTCAGGGGTTCAAGCTCTGATTTCTACTCTGATCAAGCTGGAGTTGCAGGACCCAACGACACAGGAAACAAACCACTCGGTTGCCTTGATGACGGCCTGCAGGGTAAGTGCTTCAAAGATTAAACGACAATGAAAAGTGCGAGCTACACTCTGGATGGGTGTTGTAACTTCCTGAGATCACATCGAAATAAAATGACACAGAAAATGCATCTGGTACCCTCTGCTATTTTTTTCCTCAGTTTTTAAAAATATTTTTTTTCAATCAGGGAGTCCCGTGATGGGTCCAGGAGGTCGAGCACCCTTCCAGAGGGCCATGTCCATGGACGGGAAGCCTCCTGGTGGACCTGGAGGAGCGGGAAGACGCCCCACGCTCGTCAAACAGGAGAACATGATGGGTGGCTCAGACGGCTGCCCAGGAAACATGGGTGTGTGTTCAAAAGGCCCAACGCTGTTTTAACTCTGCAGTTTTTCTCAGTGTGTCTCTACCTCCCCCCTCCTCACTGTTTAAGACTCTGTCCCCCCAACATCAAATCTGAACTCTGTCATTCATTACTGTAAACGATCACACACACTGTGCTCTGGTAAAATTATAAAATGATGTTAGGAACATATTTCTCTTGCACATTGTAATGATTCTGACATGCTTTTTTCTCTTTACCTCATATTATCAGGTCAACTGAGTAGAGGCATGGTTCCCCAGAGGTCTCCCATGGGGGGTTCAGTAGACTGGGGCAAGCCCCGCTCTAGTGCCAGCCCCATGGGTTCAGCGGGACACTCGTCCATGATGCGCTCTGGCATGGAGTACAACAGTGGGAAGATGATGTCAGGAGCCATGGTCAGCCGCTCCAACAGTGTGCCCGGCACCAGGTCCATGCTGCAGCAGCAGCTCATGGATATGGGTACGCTGCTCCTTCAGCTGTCATGTGTTGTGTTTGTGAAAGGAGCACAGATGCAGCTGCGTACAGAGAAGCACCACGGAGCAGAGGGGAACGGTAGAAAAATAAGTCTGCATCTGTGTTTGGTGCTGAAGGTCTGCACTCGGACCCAGTGAATCTTTGAGCTGCCTCACTACTCGTCTCAACTCTTCACATAGAACACCACGCACCTGCCTCTTGTTTCATTTTATTAATAGACATTTATCACCACAGATATTGAGAAGGACTGATATCATGAATGACGTAAACAATGGCAAATATATTTTTAGAGCACGTTTTTATTTTTGAAAATAACCAAAGTCCACAACCGGACCACCTTCTCTAGAGTGCAGTCTTTTATTAATTCACATTAATTTCTGCTTGAACGTGTCAAAAGTAATCTGCGTTGTGTTTTATAGTGCTGTGTGCTGAAACTTTTAAAGGTGTTTGATTCAGAAACTTTGATGAAATGAGCTCACTGCAGCTTGCTTGGCTTACAAGTTGCAATATAAGGAGTAGAATTAGTTCTGCAACTAATTAAACATGTAGCTTCATCCACTTTTTTCCCCTAAATTTATATGTGTGCATTTTTTTATTCCCCTGCTTTTAATGGCTCTACTTAAATTACTTTCATATCATAATTTTAAAACAAACTTGTTACTTTAATGTTTTTATTAAATTTCGAGTGTATAAGCAGGGTCACCATTCCAATGCATCGTCCATGTAAGAATACAAAATATTTTCACAATTTCAGCTTTATAATTATTTTCTTTGTTTTTATTTAAGTACTTCAACATTTTTAGTTGGTTAGAAAAGAGCTGCAGTTGATAATGTGTTGATATGAGCTAAGAGATGCTACAGTTTTGAACACAGTTAAATTAATCAGTTTAAAGATAACGAGTGCATTGATGCCATATGAATATATTTATTTTTATTAGGTAAATTTCCATTAGTTACATCAATAAATAAACAAAAAGTATAATTTTATCAAAGTGCCAGTAAATAATTTTTATTAAATAGTTTAAAACAATATCAGTTTTCTTTTTGTGCGTATATAATTTTATTAAAATCAGGCTTTTACTGCATCAGTATTGCTTTTGTGTGTTTAGGTAATTAAAGATTTATATTGTTAAATTTCAAAACTACTTTTAAATGCTGTGTTGGAACCATTAAAATACTGGTCACTGTTTGTTCTCATTGATGAAGTAAAGCTTTTTTTTTATGGTGTTGATGGTTTAGGAGGTTCTGCTGATGCTGGGATGGGTCTGAGCCCCTTCAGCCAGCAGGGTCAGCCCGGCCAGTCCCCCTCCTGGCTCGACAACATGATGAGCATCGAGGGCAACAGGTCAGCGAAACATTTATTAAAGTTTTCTGTCACGTCTTATTAGTCCACATGATCTAAATCCTTTGTGTGTGTTGTAGACGGCAGTTTGGCAATCCCTTGGATGATCTTCTGGTGGCCCCCACCAGCAGTGAAGGTCAGAGTGATGAGCGGGCCCTCCTGGACCAGCTGGATTCTCTGCTGAATAATGCAGATGGCATCGCTTTGGAGGAGATTGACCGAGCTCTTGGTATCCCAGACCTCGTCAGCCAGGTAAGAACGCCTAAAAAAATCAGACAAACCCACCTGTGTGTGGGAGTGGGGGGTGGGGGCGAGGATTAGCTCGTATCTTGATACAAGTGAGCTTTATCCTGATGCATGCTCATAATGTCCAGAGGACCAGATTTAACTTTTTTGGAAGTGAGCTTTATATTTCTCTTTGCGTTTTATATGGCAGACGTGACTCGCTGTTCGGTCTGTTGTCTCTCTGAAGTGAGACAGATGAGCCGAGAGGGATCCGTCTGTGCTGCTTAGAAAAAGACAATTATAGAGCCAACCTGGCAGAAATGAATCAATTAAACTGAGAAGTTCGACTAACTTTGTTTATTTGTTGTTCTTTTTGTCCTTTCGTCATGTCTGCTGCAGACCCAGGGAGCGGAGCAGCATCTGGAGCAATTTCCAGGACAGGAACCGTCCATGCTGCTCGACCAAAAGCCTCTGTATGGTCAGGGTTATCCCGGACCCCCTTCCATGCCTATGCAGTCAGGGTACATGCAGGGTCAGGGCCAACAGGGGGGCTTTGGACCCATGCTGTCACCAATGAGCCAAGGTGGTAACTTTCCTGGTATGGGTGGAATGGGGGGGATGGGACACCCTCGGGCCAACATGATGAGACCCCGGATGATGAGTGCTAACAAGCCCATGAGGCTGCAGCTGCAACAGAGGCTGCAGGGACAGCAGGTATCACACAGCATGCATGGCTTTTTATCAAATGAGCTGGTGTCCATTCTGTCTCAACATGTAATAATTGTGCACTGAGTCCAAAACACCCCCAAGGGGACAGTGAAGCACATTGTGTGTTGTGTTGTGTGAAGGATTCTACCAAAATAAAATCACATATTGTAAGTCCCAGTGGCAAAATGTATGAAAATATTCATGTGATTGTTTTATTTGTGTTTATGTGTTGCAGTGGGAGTATGTTTCAGTTTAGAGGTGCTGGGAGTGCTGCATTTATTTATTTATCTATTTTAATTGGTCAAATCTAAATATTGCAATTCAAGTATATTAAGCACTAATAAAATCGGCTTTAATTTTTATAATAGTCATTACTTTGTGATAAGGATTTTTTCTGGCAGCCACTTGGCGGTGCTGTTGCACCCTAAGCACCCCTGCTTCCCATGTCCTGGTGAAACATGTTGCATGTATATTATAGGTTTTATTTATTTATATGTGCGTGAGTGGGCGTGTTCTGTTTCTCACAGTTTTATCGTCTGTTCAGAACGCTTCACGTTCTCTTCATGGTGTCAAATGTGCCATTCGTATGAAGATGGCACTCGTGTATTGCCTCTTATTGTCTTGTGCTGAATGTTTCTTTTTTCCAACCCCCAAAGTTTATGAATCAGACACGACAGGGGATGCCCATGAAGATGGAAAACCCCGGTGGAAACCTTAACATGAGGCCCAACATGCAGCCCGGCATGGGACCGGTAAATGACCCAAATTACTTGAAGAATCAAATGAAATAAAGATTTTATTGAGGTCTGATTTAATATTACTCTCACATAGACAAGAAAACTGGACTCTGGCTGTTGACTGTTAGGTGCAACATTAAAATTTCCAACAATTTTTAAATGATATACGGTGCATAATTAACCCATAAGCCCTCACTAAAGTTATTGTAAGTGTTGTTTCACTGTATTTAACTACTGTTACTGAAGCACAATGACACAAGCCACAGCACCTCTACTTTAACCAGCTGATCCTCTTTTCTGTGAAAGAGAAAATAATTGCGCCCAAATTAGTTTTCTATAATTATGTGTCTGTTTGGTGTAGCCGGGTTTCCTAAATGCTCAGATGATGGCCCAGCGCAGAGATGTGGTCACCATGCAGATGAGGAGGCAGCGTATGATGATGCTGATGCAGCAGCAGCAGCAGCAGCAGCAGCAGGCGGCTGCGGCAGGAGGGTTCAGTCCCCCTCCAAACGTCACGGCTCCCGCTGGCATGGACAGCCACATGGGAAACATGGGCCAGCCGGGCCCCCAGCAGTTTGGCTATGGTGGCAACTATGGTGAGTTCACTGTACCAGGTGGTGGTGGTGAGGCGGAACAGAGCATGCTTCTAGTTTTATATCATCCTGTAAAAAAGGCTTACAGTGTTTTTGTATCTTGTGTTTATTTAAATAAAGAAAACAAAGAGCTGATGCGTTAGGATTTCATTTTTTCTGCAGGGATGGGCCAGCCAGGAGACTCCTCCTTTGGTCCATCAGGTGGCAGTCCTCCTAATGCCATGATGCCAAACCGCATGGGGCCTCAAAACCCCATGATGCAACAGCACCCTCAAGGCGGTCCCATGTACCAGGGTGCTGAGATGAAAGGCTGGTCCCAGGGAGGCGTGGGCCGCAACAGGTACGACACAAAAACTCTGTCAGGGAGAAGAGAGACAAAGAAAAGGTGCTTTCACCTCTTTACTCTTTAACTCTTCCTTCTGTCTGTCACTCTTCTTCATCAGTTCGTACCCTCAGCAGCAGTTTGGTCCGCAGGCGCCTCTGGGTCAGCAGCAGTTTGGGCAGCAGGGGAATCCAGGACAGTATGGAGGCATGATGATGAATGGGGGCATGTCGGCCGGTGGAGGAGGACCTCACATGGGTCAGATGGGAATGAACCCAATGGTTATGGGACGCATGTCTATGGGGCCCGATCAGGTGTGTGCAGAGAATGAAAGACTATGAGTGCTTCTTAAAATTACAAAATTGCTCTGAAATAGCATTTCCACGTTTGTATGTGTACATATAAAGAGATGTTAGCAGTTGTCAAAAGGAGTACCACAGGGCTCTTTATTTGTCCATTAAACTTTTTAAAATAATAAAGGCTAAAATAAAGCTTTATTATCTCTTTACATGATATAAAACATAAAGTATATTATTTAGAATGCTTTTTCTACCTTGTATACGTAGTTTCTGTCTTCATATTGCACTACAAATGTGCTGATGTTTGTTTTCACTCAGAAACTCTTCTTATTGTCACGTCACTGGATACTCTTAATATTTCCTGTGCCACATTCTCAAACTAATTTTTTGCAGAATGGCTTTTAAATAGCACGTATCTTTAATTATCCAGATGTCAAACTTTTTTTTCTTGTGTCTGAAAGTCTAGTTTGACTTGTGTCTGTGATTAAACTTTAAACATTTTAATGAAAATATCAATAAAATCAAATTATTTGAAGAAAAGGCTGGTTAAAACTCCAGTTTCTGTCCTGGACATGAACTGAAACCAAAGTAGCATCAACAAATGATTATTCCACATACATGTTAGTATGTCTGAATTATACTGAAAGGATAT